TTTCTTTTTGTTAGGACCCACTTTCGGGCACCTCAAAAAGTACCATTTCTGGGACCCCAAAGAGACCCAAGGGCTCTCCCTAGGAGATTTCGGACCCTCCTGAAGAGATACCTGGACCCTTAGGGTGGGGCATGGGGTGGGTGAGCGCTCCAGGCTTTCAGGGTTTTGTGGGAGGGGGGTTGAGGCTTAGAGCTTCGGGCATTCGGGCTTGCAATAGTAAATTCCCTTCCAGTAGCCCAAATTAATAAACCCTAAACCCGAAACCCTAAACCCTAAACCCGAAACCCTAAACCCCTAAAGACGACATCCCAACGCCAAGATGCTGAAGCACCGGCTGGATCAAGCCGTTGGACCGGCAGAAGCCTCGGGCGTTCGCTCGCTGATCGAAATGGTTTAGGGTTTAGGGGTTTAGGGCTTAGGGTGTATATAGGGTTCTCTTAGGGTTTAGCGTTCCTCTAAAGGTTCTATCAGGGGGTTCCTTTTAAGGGTTGGGATAAGGGTTCTACCAGGGCGACTGTAATTTTTCGGTTTAGGGATTTGGGGTTTGATGTTCACCCAGAGGGTCCAGTTGTCTTGCAGGAAGGGCCCGGAATCTCCCAAGGAGAGCGGTTGGGTCTCTTGGAAATTCTCAGAATTCCCACTGTGTCGCCTGTGCTCGTGCAAGCCGTCGCGACGGGCCAGCTCTAGCAGCACCAGCAACACGGACGCTCGGGCCTTGCCTTTGACATAGCCGATGCTGCTTGCGCGCAGGCTGGCAAAGCCGTCAAGGCGACGGGCATGGATGTCCTGCAGACGCTTGTTTTGTGCGTTCCTTAAGGACGCAATGACCCTTAAACGTAGCGGCCCTATACCCTTATACTGTGAATTCCTATATGGTATATGAACCTTAAACCCTTTTAGGGTTCATGTCGTCCTTATAAGGCTGATTTCTAGGCATCTTCTTAAAGGAAGGAATTCGCTTGCGCCCAGACCTCCCGTGCAGCACCAAGGTCGGCCGGCTGCGTGACAAGGAGAGCATTGTTGTTGGTGTCAAAGCCATGGGTCAACATTTTGGTGAAGTTCCCAACAGTGATACGGTTGATGATAAAAACTCGGCATTGCCTTGAGGACCCTAAGCTATGGGAATTATAGTATATCCTTATCAAGGGTAATGCAGGATATATATCATCAACCGTAGGACCCTTGGGGTAGGGTGCGATAAGGGCTCTATGAGAGCTGTAGTTTCGGGTCTAGGGTTGAGGGTCTTCGGTTTAGGCTTAGTTTCAGGTTTAGGGTTGAGGGTCTTCGGTTTAGGCTTAGTTTCAGGTTTAGGGTTGAGGGTCTTCGGTTTAGGCTTAGTTTCGGGTTTACGGTGTAGGGGTCTGAGGGTTTAAGTTGTGGCTTCGGGGCTTTTGGGTTTCGGAGTGTCTGATAGCTTAGGATCCTTGGGTTCAGGGCTGTCGAGTTTTGGGGCTTTGGGTTTCAGGGTTTCGGATTTCGGATCTTGGGGTTTACCAGGGCTTAGGATTTTAGGGTTTCAGGTTTTAGGCTTTAGGGTTTAGGCTGGGGTTTAATAGGGCTTACCTGTGACCCCAAACCCTACAAAATAGTAGGCTATGACCCCTTAATTAGAGGGTAGAACGCCTAAAACGGTAGGTTGTTGGATTCCCAGGTAGGATTTTAGGGTTTCAGGTTTTAGGGTTTAGGCTTTAGGGTTGAAGGTTTTTTAACCCTGACAACCTGTTTGCAAGGCCGTATAAACCCAGATAAACCCGCTGGAGATCCCTCATCCATCAGAGCCCATGCAATTAAAGCTTCTCACAAAAAGCCTGCAAAATCCAATATAGCGTAAGGTTTGTCATGACTGTATCCTATTAACAGCATCGCAAATGTGCAGTCGCCAGTGCTCCTGAGGAGCCCCATGTTGCGGGAGTCTAAACGCTACTTAATACGAGCACCAAACAACCACTAACTAACCTTCTAAAAAACATCCAGTTCGTGATACAACCCTACCCTAAACCCTAAACCCTAAACCCTAAACCCTAAACCCGAAACCCGAAACCCTAAACCCTAAACCCTAAACCAAAGCCCTGTAAGTGCCAAGGAACTTCGCAACTTTGACTGGGATTCCCAGGTCTTCTGCTCGTATTGCAAGAGTGCGTTGGCGAGAGCGAAAACCTACAGCGCTTGGAGGTTTGGCATTCAGGGGTTCGAAGGTTTTCTTTTGCTTTTTTCATGTATGGGCCCTTTTCCAACTGCATGTACAGGAAGAATTCCTTACCAGGAGGAGCCTGTCATTGGGGCCTCTGTGTTTTAAAGAAGAATTAAGGTTTTTAAGGCTTTAGGGTTTGGGGGTTAGGCTTTAGAGCTTAGGGTTTAGGGTTCAGGGTTTAGGGTTTGGGGTTCGCGGTTTACCCCACAAAATCCCATAACCTTGACCATATCGATACGCCCAAGATCCTAGTAAACCCTGAAGCCTAAACCCCTGAATATGAACCCCCACACCTAAACCTTAAACCGATCCCGATCACCCTCATGGCGGAACCTTTCCTCCGCTTCGCAAATACGCACCTAAAAATGGTACCAGAACGAGGAAGAAACACCAGGTTCAATGAAAGAATCCGAAACCCCAAATCCTAAACCCTAAATTGGCACCGACACCGGAAGAAACACCATGTTCGTGAAAGTGCAGTGTTGATCTTTCTGGCGCAGCTTGAGCAATCCATCCTCGCCGAAGAGCAACTTTTCCGTCCATAACTTGTGCAAGAGCCGGGCCGCTTGCTCGGTCTGACTCTTGGGGTTGGCGCGATTGAAGGCCTGCAACACCTCTTCAAAGGTGGTCTCCTGGAAGGAACGGCCCTCGATCTCGGCAGACGGGACGGCTGCCTCGATTGCAGCTTCGAAAGCTGCGGGGTCCAGGACCGCCGCTTCTGAACCGTCCGGTTGTTCGTCCAAGTGCTCTTCTTCATCATCTTGCCTGCTCTTGCCCTTCTTGCGGCGCTTCTTCTTCTGGGGCTCAGCAGCGGCTTGCGTGTCGGCAGGCAGCGGCACGGGTCCGGAGGCTACGTCCGGCACGCTGCTCAGTCGAGGAATCTCCTGAGTGAATGTGTTCTTGAAGGGGCCTTCAGAACCACGAACCCTGGTCCCTGAACCCCCACCGAGCCTTAACCTTCTGCAGGCTACAGTTTAGGGGTTTAGGGTTTAGGGTTCAGGGTTTAGGGTTTAGGGTACCGGCCATCGACACAAAGCCTCAGGGTCTGAACCCAAACCCACAGCAAACCTCTGAAGATGACTCAAAGAGAACTTCTAGAATCTTCTAGGGACAGTGTGGAGCCTGATAGAAACCCCGTAGAACCCCCCACGGAAGCCTCATGAACAATAAGATATAGGTCCCTTATGATGGGAGCCGCTGCTTCGTAGAAATCGACCTATTCCTTTTCGAAAGCCTCCTAGCTCCGAACCCCGAACCCAGAGACTCCAAAACCGCTTAAATAAGGAATATACCTTAAATCATATTAGGGATCCTATTATAATTTAAGGTATATTCCTCAATGAAGGGGTTTTGGAGTCTCTGGGAACCAAAACCCTCCTGAACATCTCCAGATTCGGAGAACAGAACCAGGCTTTGGTGCTGCTTGGTTTCGGGGTTTCGGGGTTGCGGGGTTTAGGTGTTCGTGCTTCGGGTTCGGTGAAACACAAACTCGAAAAATTGTACCCACGCCGCAGAGAAAACACACCCCAGAAACGTGAAATCCAAACTGCTCAGAAGTTGACGGAGTCCTAAACACTGGCCCTATAACCCTAAACACGAAACCCAATATAAACTCCCAAATCCTCCCTAAACCCTAAACCCGAAGCCCTAGATAGAACTCCCCAATCCTCCCTAAACCCTTAGACTCCCAGATCCTCAATCTTTCGGCCCTGATCGCTACAACCCCAAATCAGACCCCCATATCTCGAACAGTCACTGATGACAACACCGAGACCCGCCCATGTCAGAGAAGCCCACATACATCCAGAAATCCGGAAAAAGAACAACAAAACTAAACAACATAACTTCGGAACCCGACGCCACAGATGTTGGACCCTCGACCCTAAACCTCAGCCCTAAAGCCCTGAGCCTAAACCCTACACCATCTAACCCCCGAAGCCCCTCCCATTTTATCATAAGGACCCCTAAACCCTAAACCCTAAAAAGGTAGTATTATCGAGGGTTAAGGTCCCCTAAACCGTAAACCCTAAACATAATAAACCCCAAACTTAGGGTTTGGGGTTTAGGGCTAGGGACCCTCAGCCACTGAAATGTTGGACCAGGTACATCACTCCAGCAATGCTCTCCATCCTCAAGCTGATGAAGATTGACTTCTTCATATATCTGTAGAATACCCAGCAGGTGTGCTTACAAGAGGTTTCAGGGTTTAGGGTTTAAGGTTATGTGCATATACATACATCTCGCTCTCTCTCTCTCTCTCTCTCTCTCTCTCTCTCTCTGTATATATAAATATATACAGGAAGAGATAGAAACGGTATATACATGTATACATATGTATAGTATTCAACGTTCTGATTGTCGTCTACTTAGTCTAAACGCTTTTGTACAGGCGAGACTGGGGAGATTTGGATCTGGGCTTGGCCTGGGAGGTCTACTGGGGTTACGGGGTTTAGGATTCAGGGTTTGGGGACTTAGGGGTTTAGGGGTTTAGGGGTTTAGGGTTTAGGGGTTCAGGGGTTTAGGGTTGACTCAAGCCCTCAACTCAAAATCCTACAAGCCCAATTTGAGGTTTAGGGAGCTGTTTCCAACTAATTCCCAAACCCAGGAAGGATAACATTCGCCGGGCTGTCTGGAAATCCAAAACTCAAAAAACGGAACCATGACTTGAACCATTTCCCAGAGGGTCCGAGGACCCAAAAAATAAGGTTTTAGGTTCCAAAGTCCATACCCTAAACCCTAAACCCTAAACCCTAAACCCTAAACCCTAAACCCTAAATGGCTTTTGGACCTTGAACTCCCTACAAATTGGGTACTTGGACCCTTAGGGTTTCATTTTCCACCACAAGCAGATATGAGACGAAACTACACTGTATAGTACCAGTTTAGGGTTAGGGTTTAGGGTTTAGGGTTTAGGGTTTAGGGTTTAGGGTTTAGGGTTTAGGGTTTAGGGTTTAGGGTGTAGGGACCACTATAGGTGTCACTGCTAGCAAAGGCATCGGTTGGGATGCGAGTGAAATCCGAAACCCGAGGGGGCCGAAGGCCTTCTTCAGGATCAGCACAAGCTCAGGGTTTAGGGTTTAGGGTTTAGGGTTTAGGGTTTAGGGTTTAGGGTTTAGGGTTTAGGGCACAAGCTCAGGAAGAATCGAATCGCACCGTCAGCAGATTCGTGAAACAGTTCCCCTTACAGTTTTATGTTGTCAACCCCCCCTCCTCCCGAAAAAAAAACCTAAACCCTAAACCAAAACCCTCCCCCCCCCCAAAAAAAAAACAGAAGGGCTCATCTCCCCATACACACCCTACACTCTAAACCCTAAACCCCTACACCCTAAACATGGAGGTCCCAGTGCCAGTCCTTCCGCTTCGCGAAAAGGCGCGCTGCCGAGACCTCCTCACCTCGTGGCAGCTCAAGGCTGGACAAGCTAGGGTTTAGGGTTTAGGGTTTAGGGCTTAAGGTTAGGGTTTAGGGTTTAGGGTTTAGGGTTTAGGGGATAAGCTTTCCTTTAAGGGTTCCGGGGTCTACCAGCACCCCCCAAGTACCCTTTAATAGAGCCCTTATGGTCCTTAATAGTGGGTATTTTGGGCTTGATACTTGGAGGTTCATGGGCAGTTAGTTGTAAAGTAGGGTTTTATAAGTAGGGTAACTATACTTATAACCCATATTAGGGGACTTGTAACCCCACTTGTAACTACCCATGAACCTCCAAGTAGGCTTTCCTTGAAGGGTTCCGTCTAGAGTTTGGGGGGTTTAGGATTTAGAGTTCCCCGAAAAGTAAATAAACGGGGGGGGGGGTGGTTTAGGGTGTGTATAGGGTCCTTCTAAGGGTTCCGGGGTTTAGGGTTTGGGGGTTTAGTGTTTAGGGTTCCTCTAAACGTTCTATCAGGGCTACAAAAATCTCGGGTGTAGCTTTAGGGTTCCTTTAAGGGCTCCGATAAGAGTTCTATCAGGGCTACTATAATTTTCTGGCTTTACGGCTTTTTAAGGTTTAGGGCCTTAAGGCTAGGCGAGTTTAAGGTTTAAGATTTAGGGTTTAGGGCTGCAGGGCTTCAGCTTCGGGGTTCAGGATTTAGGACTTATGCTTAGGATGGTATAGTGACCTATATCACTACTATCCCAAACCCAGGCACCTGCCTTTTGTTGTTGGGTCTCTTGAGACTTGCAAGCCCGTAGAGGCCGCAAAAAAACAGAGCAGGCTTCTGGAACACAGTATAGTATAAGCATAAAGATTAGGAGCAGTAGGGTAGTGTGTCTAGATCTGTGTGAGGCTACCGCATGTACAGTTTAGCCAGGTTGACGTCAGCATGTCCCGTGGCCGTATCTCCAGCGTGCGAGATCTTCGGCACGCTGGGTTCTTGGAGCCAGGGGGGACCAGCTGGTGTGTGACCCGTATCTGTCCACAGGGCTTGTCTCATGCACCCGCGGTCATCTGAAGGTCACATTGGATGGGAATGACCTACAGCACGACTATCCTAAACCCAATACAATACAAGACAGGGACCTAACTTTGAGAACAGGTTTTGGACTTATACGGTGTAATTCGTACCCTATGGGTAGGGGCGTAAAAAAACTGGAGCAGGCTTGTGGAGCACACCATAGTAATTATAAGTATGATAGTCAGGAATACGAGTATTGCTAATTTATCAGGCTTCCGTATGAGGCTATCGCACGTACAGTTTAGTGAGGTTGAGGTCACCATGTCCCGTGGCCGTATCTCCAGCGTGCGAGATCTTCGGCATGCTGGGTTCTTGGAGCCAGGGGGGACCAGCTGGTGTGTGACCCGTATCTGTCCACAGGGCTTGTCTCATGCACCCGCGGTCATCTGAAGGTCACATTGGATGGGAATGACCTAAAACGCGACTATCCTAAACCCACTACAGTACAAGACAGGGGCCTTAATATTGAGAACAGCTTTTATAAGGCTTATAAAACTTATAAGGATTGATTAGTACCTATGGGGGGGGGGGGGTAGGGGCGTAACAAAAAACTGGAGCAGGCTCTTGGAGCACGTCATAGTAACTATAAGTATGATAGCCAGGAATACGAGTATATTGTTAGTTTGTCAGGCTTCCGTATGAGGCTATCGCACGTACAGTTTAGCCAGGCTGACGTTTGCATGTCCCGTCGCCGTATCTCCAGCGTGCGAGATTTTCGGCACGCTGGGTTCTTGGAGCCAGGGGGGAGCAGCTAGTGTGTGGCCCGTATCTGTCCACAGGGCTTGTCTCATGCACCCGCGGTCATCTGAAGGTCAGAATAGGCCCCAAGTCTCGACTGCGCCCCTCGTGCTTTCGGGGCCAAGGAATACCTGCCCACCCTAAACCCTATATAAACCCTAAACCCTAGCGTTAAAGGACCGGGAACAACGACTTGGGCTCTCCAGCAACTGACAAACCTGGAGTCTCCATTGTAGTTCTGCTTTTGGCTTAACCAAATCTGGGTTGTAGTTCTGGAGCCCTGAAAAGTATTTCTGAATAGGTACCTCTATAGAAACCATACGGGAAATTTTACGAGTTTCCCAAGTTGCCACCTAGAAGTTTATATTTAGTATTCTATAAGGTAACCTCAACAAGGAACTACGATGGATACTGAAATAGGAAGGTTTAGTACAAAATGACCGAACAACCAAACCCTAAACCCTAAACCCAAACCCGACCGTGTATTCAAGCTGAGCTGCTTCCTGCCTGGCGACGTGCCCACACCTTCAAGCTGCTTGAAGACTCTACACCCTTCACCCTAAATCCGAGAATATAGGGGCTTTCAGAAAAAGGATAGGGTTTCGGGGCCCAAAATACGATAGGTTTTCCCGAAAGCATCGCGAAGGGTTCTTCCGTGCGGAGCCCCACAGAGAAAATACATAGAGAATACATGGGGTCAAGTACACTTGACTTTACGAACACTTGACTTTATGACATTTGACTTTACCACACTTGACTCTATTGACACTACGACACTTAACTTTACCACACTTGACTCTA